ATTTTGACAAGTACAAGTACTTGTCAAAATGCCCTGTATCGGGCCCGATTCCGATGCTAGCATCGGTATCGGGACATCCCTATTTACACCTATTGTTCCTCCTGTTAGGTCTAGTCTTCTGTGAGACTTGAACTTGGTTTTATCTGTTCTACAGAAACATCCTTCTGAGCCTATTCTAGATATTTTTTTAGTCTTTGTTGTCCAAAAAGTTTGCCTTTTTGGTGGCCATTACCTGGTCTAGAAGGGTTTCCGAGTTTTCTGCTTTCAGCTGTAGAGCACCCTATTTTGTTCCTTATAAAGACAAACTTGTGTTTAAGAATGAAGACTTTTTTTTTCCTAAGGTGGTTTCAGCCTTTCAATTAAATGAAGACACTGTTTTCCCTTTTCTTTGTCCGACCCTTGTTCATTCAAAGGAAATGTCTATTTACTGCTTGGATGTTGTGTGGGCTGTCAGTGTTCATCTTTCAGTCACAGTTTCCTTTACATGTATGGATTCTTTGTCCTACCAGAAGGTCCTAGAAAGGTTGTTCAGCTTCTAGATCCACTATTTTTATGTGGCTCTATTGAGGGGAATTTATCAAAACTGGAGCAGATAAAATCTGGAGCAGCTGTGTATGGCAACCAATCAGCTTCTCTCTTTCATTTTCAAATCTTAACTGAAGAGATAAGCTGATTGGTTGCCCTGGGCAACTGCTCCAGTTTCTGTTTGCTCCAGTTTTGATAAATTCCCCCCACTAGGTTTTAATTCTAGATTAGAATGGTCCTACCATAACCATTAGTGCTTCGTGGGCCTTTAATAGTCAGACTAGGAGAGGTTAAAGCAACAAAGCATAAAACGTACTCATTGTAGTGATGGAAATATTCTAGTGTGGGGATTTTCTTTACCTACTCTGAGGTTTGCGACCAGCACAGGATTAACTCCACATCAGCTAAAGAAAAAGCACAGCTGAATTCTGAAGAGGAACGCTATGGGTTACATTTGTGTGTAAGAAGATGTCATGTTTTACAAAAACTTGTGGAATCATTGTCAGTTTGTAAACGTTAGTAAAGACTGATGTAAGATACCTCAAATGTTGACCCACAATGACTCAGTAAATACAAAGAAACTTTTGTTGACCTATATTTCTGAAACACTCAAGCTTGCACATAGTTTTGTTGGAATATCCTTTGAATAATTACACGTGGTGGACTCAGACTTTTGTATGGTAATAAAGTATATATGGATTCCTGGAGCACTATGGGTTTTTAATATGTATAGCAATAATTATCACTTCAGGCATGATGTCTGTCATCAAAACCTCGGACAGCGAGGGGGTGGATGGGTCAGCGTTGGGTTCTGTCCACATGATTCATCTGTGTGTAATTTTTAGTCTAAAGTGAAATTTAAGCAGGAAATACTAAGGGTTTTTTTTTTATTGGAGGAGAGACATAAAATGTATAGCTTTTGAAAGGTGTTCCATTTCAGGGGCAGACAAAAAGTTTATATTGATAAAATGTAAGGGGTGGACAAGTTGTAGACGTTTCAGCTGGTCATTTAATGGAACCAGGCGCCAAAGGCGTCTATTGACATAAGAAAAAAAAATGCAACAAACAGGGAAGCGCATTGTAACACTGAGATGATCTGACTGATGTAGCATAAAGGAGATTCTGCTCTTTAATAAAGTGTAAGTTAACCCTAACAATATACTTCTTTTATATTCTCACTTAGTCTTCTAAATATACCTTTTGAAAGTGTTTTGTTATTTTTGTTTGATAAGTGCAACAAAATACCTGTTAGTTTTGCCAGAAATCTTGTGAGCTGATATTTTCATGTACTCACTGCCTGTGCACAAAAAGGGGTTATGGTGATAAGGGTCAAGAAGAAAAGAAGAAAATAGGTCTGTGTTCTTTGTAATGCATCAACAACTAATTTGGCAGGACTGACACTACATACTTAGGAATTCAGAGCTGAAAATGTGTCTGGCACATTAACCGTTTTTTCCCCTCTGTACCTGCAGAATGTTTAAAAGGATAAAACGGAGGGTAATGTGTATGTATTGGAGAAATGCACGAAATATGTTTTGAGGGGTTTTTGTGCCATGACGTACACTTGTATGTTGTTTGAGGTGATTGTGTCATCTAACTATGTACTACAGATTACAAGTTAGTTGCCTGCTCAGATCACTGTATTTTGTATTCGACACACAATGTCTTTGTTTCTAATACTTCTGGTGGATGTATTTTGCAGATAAAACACGTGCTGCAGACCTTCTGGTAAATCCACTGGACCCAAGAAATGCAGACCTTATTAGAGTTAAAATTGCAGATCTTGGAAATGCTTGCTGGGTGGTAGGTAGACAATAATCAAATACATTGGTGTGCTGGTCCCTTCAGTTAAAACCTGTTATTCATGTGTGTGTGTTTCCTTTGTGCAGCACAAACACTTCACTGAAGACATCCAGACAAGACAGTATCGCTCCATAGAAGTTCTCATAGGAGCTGGCTACAGCACCCCTGCTGATATTTGGAGCACAGCTTGTATGGTGAGAAATGCTTGAATGTCTTGTCCTAGACCTATACAGATGCAAGTAGATGGAGAGACCCTCCGCACTCCTCACAGCAGTCCCGGCCAGATATGAAAAAAGTGGTGCTCGCAGTGATGAGATACCACGGATGGCGCCGTGCAAACACAGGAAAGTCGGGAAATCACCAGCACTCAGTAGTAAAGATAAATATGTCCCTTTTTTATTGGACAGAAAGCGTCACAGACATCCAAATAAACCGACGTTTCTGGACCACGCAGGGTCCCTTCCTCAAGGCAGAAAGATGTGACCTTGGGTCCCGCGGACCTGCGCGGTCCCGAAACGTCGGTTTATTTGGATGTCTGTGATGCTTTCTGTCCAATAAAAGGGACATATTTATCTTTACTACTGAGTGCTGGTGATTTCCTGACTTTTCTAGACCTATACAGTACATCTCATTGGCATTGGTGACTGTGAGGGATAGGAAAGACACAAATACACTGGTGTTTATCTATACGGTATATTTCCTGCCTGTTTAAATAAATTACACCTTTGTCTAAATCAAATATTGCAGTCATTCTGTTACTTCATCCAGTCAGATTTGTTCTCTTGATTATATTTTGAAGATTCTGACCAGATGTTTACATGAACAGGCATCCTTTTGGATCTATGCGTGCTGCATTTGGCCACCGTTAAATACTGGTATTCAGCCACTGTGTTTCCTAGGAAACTTTGGCTTTCGCTTGCTCATTTTACTGGACGCTGCTCTGGGAATGCAAATGTAGTAATTGTGAAGGAAGTACACATTTTTCCTCTTTTGTTTCAATAATGTCTATAGCAGAATATATGCCATGTTCCTTTGAAGAGCTGTCCACATCAGTTGCAGTCTGCAAAGAGCTTACAGTTTAATGTTTCTACCACAGTCATATAGACGCATGGTAGAATCTGTTTGGACGCTTGCTTTGCAGATTTTTACCCTTATTTTAACATTTATCTAAAATGTTTTGCCTTAAAAAGAGAGAGAAATGTCACATAACCATTCTCTTTCTTTTTTTTAATCCTTTGCGCTGCCTGCTGGGGAGAGGGGGATAGGGTTAAGGGGGAACCAACACATGACTGCAGTAAGGCCCACTTCAGCAGCGATTTAATATTTTTCAGACATTTTTCCTGTCCAGGTTAATAACCAATCAGCTTTGCCTAAATGTAAACAGTATAAGACAGTAAACCAGATGCTGTGTTACATGGGTTTGCAGTTCAAAGCGCACTGTCCAACAGAAGACACTAGCCTGCGCTGCTCTCCCAAATTCCTTGCTACTCTTTTATAAGAAGTTAATAAAGCACACATTACGACTAGGGATGCAAGTGACGAGAGAGCATGGAGCCGGCTTCCTGACCAATCAGAAAGCAGGCGCCGCGTCATTACACGGCGCCTGGCTTCCTGACTGGTCAGCTTTTGACCGATCAGGAAGCCGAGCAGCTCGCCATTACACGCTGCCCGGGTTCCTGATTGGCCGTGAAGCCGGCTCCATGCTCTCTCGTCACACGTGAGGCGAGAACGTGGAGCCGGCTTCCCGGGCAATCAGGAAGCCGGGCAGTGTGTAATGACGCTCTGTCCGGCTTCCTGATACCGGAAGTATCAGGGTAGGCATCAAAGCATTTGGGCGAGTGTGAGTACTCGCCCAAATACTTAGCATAGGTACTGATACTAGTATTGGTGCATCCCTAATTATGACCTAATAGAGAAGGAAGAAAACAAGGCAGTAGTGCGCACTAAGAAACAACAATGTATTCACACAGATCAACAATACAACTTATAGGACTTTTTTTTAGCTGCTTTTAGGAGTCCAATGCTTAATTGTGCACAGAAGGGAGGCAGGCCCTGTAGCTAACTGTTTCTAATCAAGAAACTGACCCTTTGAAAGTTGTGTGCACCACAGAGCACACAGGAGCAGTGACAGTAGCCCAGGGGGTGTCTAAAACTGTCAGCCCGCCTTGTGGGAGACTGGGCATCTTACAGACTTCCCAAGCACTAAAAATATGGAGTTCTGCTTTTGAAGATTTGCACTTCTGTTCATTATTATTACTTTTAATGATTTTTTTTTCTTACCCCCTACAGGCATTTGAGCTTGCAACAGGCGACTATTTATTTGAACCACATTCTGGAGAAGACTATTCCAGGGACGAAGGTGCGTACTTCTCACACTGAAAAGCAGTGGGCTAGAATTACACATACACATCTCTTTGTAGTGGTGATGGGTTTTACTCCTTTTTTCATGATTAACACAGTTGCTTTCTTTTTTTACTTCAATAAACTTGGAGCCATTTAGCTACAGTCGTTATTTCAGTCCGGTCTTCTATTAAAGACAAAGTCACAGTCCTTTTATCACATATTCAGAGAAGTTGCACAGTGTTACAATGAGCTAGGATGTGAATATGTAGGTGACTCGATGGCTATTTAAATTTGTTTTTGGCTTTAATTCAGATTTTTTGTTTCATTTTGTGGTCCTCTTTTCTTTGTAATTTTACATTCTACAATGTGTAGATGAAAATACACTCCTTCATTCCATCTACATGGTCTATTTATTGCATGATATGACAATCGTTAAGACTGTCTAATAAGTAATAAATGCAGTATATCAAGGGCAAATGGCATATTAAACATTAACCCTTGCAAACCACACTGTAAGGGTTAAAATAGAACTATGGGTTACACCTTTTCTTTGCATTTGTAGCTTCCTAATGATACAGGAATACATTTTTCAATGTACTCCTGTAATCAAAACTGCACCATAAGCTTAAAATTCAGTGTAATAACCTGGGGGGGATGAGCTCTGTGCTGAGAGGCGATCCTGACAATTTTGTTGGGATCCTCCTCTCCCATTTAGTGACAGCAGCTTGTAGGAGCTGCTGCTCATTCATGAGAACCTGTGCAAACGCAGAAACTCAGGGCACATTCTGTCAAAGTTTATTCATGTCAGGTCACAGGTCTGCGAAGCACATCCATCCCGCAGTTTGTCCTTCCTCCCCTCTCCACACTGCTGTCTCCAGACAATACACATAACACATCGGCACTAAGACAGTCAGTTCAGCTCCGTCCTCAACCCCCTCCACTCAATGCTGTTGTCTTGGGACATAAACAGGGAGAAGAAGAGCTAAAGACAGCAGAGTGGAGGAGAGGTGGCCGAAATCCCAGCTCCTTTCACCTTTTGTTTTTATGGCAGGTGAAACGTGGCAGTCTGCTAGCCTTCTGTAGACAACACCAGGTGCTGCATCTTTGAAGATTATTTACTTCACAGTACATGCAGCTAGAGAGGACAGTTAAGACTGGTTTAAAAACACATTTACTGCTTCTTGAGAATATGTAAAAACTTTATTGTCCATTGTCTTGGCACAGGTCCACTGTTTGATATGGCAAAACAAATCTAACATCTTTAGGACCTATCAACTAATTAAGGAGGGTAAACCGAATCAATGTTCTGATTTGGATTGGTGTAACAAAGGGTGTGCTACACAGAAAAATAATACATTATGAAGTTACCTAGCACTGGCTTAAATTAAAACCTAAAACCATTGCAAAACCAATTCTACTCGTGCTGTGAAGATGTCCGGGAAATATAAAAACAATACGTCCTTGTTAAGGCCCCTGGAGTAGATCTAGTGACCAATTTTTGGCCCAAATTGCATACCACCTTGTGTGAAACTGTACTTTGGTCTCACCCCTTTTACCACAACTGTACAGTCAAGCAGGGCTTGAAAAATTTTAGGGTGTCTCACCAGTCAGTCAAAAATTTCACCAGTCAGCATGACCAGACTATCGGCCTTGCAATTTACGTTAACATTTTTTGGGGACAGATAGCTTTCTTTTGGAGGTATATAATCACCTCGGGGGTTATTTTTTACTATATAATGAAAAAAGTAAAACAAAAAAAAAAAGTTTCCCTACGCTATGTTCCCAAGCACTAAAAATATGGAGTTCTGCTTTTGAAGATTTGCACTTCTGTTCATTATTATTACTTTTAATGATTTTTTTTTCTTACCCCCTACAGGCATTTGAGCTTGCAACAGGCGACTATTTATTTGAACCACATTCTGGAGAAGACTATTCCAGGGACGAAGGTGCGTACTTCTCACACTGAAAAGCAGTGGGCTAGAATTACACATACACATCTCTTTGTAGTGGTGATGGGTTTTACTCCTTTTTTCATGATTAACACAGTTGCTTTCTTTTTTTACTTCAATAAACTTGGAGCCATTTAGCTACAGTCGTTATTTCAGTCCGGTCTTCTATTAAAGACAAAGTCACAGTCCTTTTATCACATATTCAGAGAAGTTGCACAGTGTTACAATGAGCTAGGATGTGAATATGTAGGTGACTCGATGGCTATTTAAATTTGTTTTTGGCTTTAATTCAGATTTTTTGTTTCATTTTGTGGTCCTCTTTTCTTTGTAATTTTACATTCTACAATGTGTAGATGAAAATACACTCCTTCATTCCATCTACATGGTCTATTTATTGCATGATATGACAATCGTTAAGACTGTCTAATAAGTAATAAATGCAGTATATCAAGGGCAAATGGCATATTAAACATTAACCCTTGCAAACCACACTGTAAGGGTTAAAATAGAACTATGGGTTACACCTTTTCTTTGCATTTGTAGCTTCCTAATGATACAGGAATACATTTTTCAATGTACTCCTGTAATCAAAACTGCACCATAAGCTTAAAATTCAGTGTAATAACCTGGGGGGGATGAGCTCTGTGCTGAGAGGCGATCCTGACAATTTTGTTGGGATCCTCCTCTCCCATTTAGTGACAGCAGCTTGTAGGAGCTGCTGCTCATTCATGAGAACCTGTGCAAACGCAGAAACTCAGGGCACATTCTGTCAAAGTTTATTCATGTCAGGTCACAGGTCTGCGAAGCACATCCATCCCGCAGTTTGTCCTTCCTCCCCTCTCCACACTGCTGTCTCCAGACAATACACATAACACATCGGCACTAAGACAGTCAGTTCAGCTCCGTCCTCAACCCCCTCCACTCAATGCTGTTGTCTTGGGACATAAACAGGGAGAAGAAGAGCTAAAGACAGCAGAGTGGAGGAGAGGTGGCCGAAATCCCAGCTCCTTTCACCTTTTGTTTTTATGGCAGGTGAAACGTGGCAGTCTGCTAGCCTTCTGTAGACAACACCAGGTGCTGCATCTTTGAAGATTATTTACTTCACAGTACATGCAGCTAGAGAGGACAGTTAAGACTGGTTTAAAAACACATTTACTGCTTCTTGAGAATATGTAAAAACTTTATTGTCCATTGTCTTGGCACAGGTCCACTGTTTGATATGGCAAAACAAATCTAACATCTTTAGGACCTATCAACTAATTAAGGAGGGTAAACCGAATCAATGTTCTGATTTGGATTGGTGTAACAAAGGGTGTGCTACACAGAAAAATAATACATTATGAAGTTACCTAGCACTGGCTTAAATTAAAACCTAAAACCATTGCAAAACCAATTCTACTCGTGCTGTGAAGATGTCCGGGAAATATAAAAACAATACGTCCTTGTTAAGGCCCCTGGAGTAGATCTAGTGACCAATTTTTGGCCCAAATTGCATACCACCTTGTGTGAAACTGTACTTTGGTCTCACCCCTTTTACCACAACTGTACAGTCAAGCAGGGCTTGAAAAATTTTAGGGTGTCTCACCAGTCAGTCAAAAATTTCACCAGTCAGCATGACCAGACTATCGGCCTTGCAATTTACGTTAACATTTTTTGGGGACAGATAGCTTTCTTTTGGAGGTATATAATCACCTCGGGGGTTATTTTTTACTATATAATGAAAAAAGTAAAAGAAAAAAAAAAAGTTTCCCTACGCTATGTTATAAAACATTTATTATTACCCATATTTTTGGTAAAACATAAAAGTCGGGGTCACGTTGGGTAAATAGACACCAAACATGTCAAGCCTTAAAATTGCGTGCACCCGCAAAATCGCAAAAAACGCCACGCTTAAAAAGCTTTTACTGCTCATCAGTTTAGTGTTATCGGTGATTGATGGCCCTAAAATGATTGCTCTCACTCCGACGTTTGCGGCGATATGTAACATGTGCGGCACAATAGGCGCAATCGGTGTTTTTGCACGTAGGCGCACCCGACTCATATCTGAGTGTGTATGTGGTGGGCGGGGACTTAAAAAAAATGTTTTCTTTACATTTTTTTTATGCTTTATTTTTTTATGATTCTTTAATTTTTGTATTACTTCTTTTTTTTTTTGACACACAACTTTATTGCTATTACATCGGGGGCTAAGAAGCCCCCTATAATAGCCAATTTACATGACAGGTCCTCTTTATGGAGACATCAGGGGTCTCCAAGACCCCTAATGTCACCTAGGGACCCCCAGAGAAGCTTATGAAGCAGACATCTGCTTCATCAGCTTCTGTAGCTGGAGAGTGACACTGAATGCAGGAAGTGATGTAATATACATCACTTCCTGCATTCGGGGACTGAGAGGAGATCAAAGGGAGTTCGTATACTGAACTCCCTTTGATCTGTCACAGAGCCGTGCCGGTCCCGGCCGCATCGGGCACAGCGGATCTCGGGACCGGCAACGGCAGTGACAGCTGCTGATACAAGCGATCGGGCGTCTCTAGAGACGCCCGATCGCTTGAATGTAAAGCTCCCGGCCGGCCGTGTAATTACAATGGCCGGCCGGGAAGCTGTTCGTCGGGAGCAGTGGATTTTTCAAGCTCTGCTTATAAGTAACAGATATGCCAAGACTTATAATTGTATGCAGTTCTGAAACAGAAGGCTAAGGTAGGCAAAACTGTAAAAGCGTGACTTGAATGAGAAAGTATTCAAAACATTCTGTGCTGAACTTCGCAGCATTAAACTAAAATGGTGCCATTAAATAAATATATAGTTAGACTACTTCTATCCTATGTGGTTACTAGGTGACAGACACTCTCTGATCTCTGCCTGCTCTTGCTGCTGTACAGAGAACTGTAAATGAGCCTGAAAGTGCTTTCCTGAACTTTCAGGTTCAACTAAAGGTATAACAGACTGCCACTTTGGGAGCTGTGGATGCGATAAGTGGCTGAAAGGACTTTAGGATCACACCCACGCTCCACGCAGGGGCACTTAAGAGGTTTGATGACATCGAACTCACGCACGCTTGTAATGTGACATTGTGCCAGTGTGCTGTTAATATAGCTGAGCTAGTTTCACTAAGGCTGGCCATACACTGTTAACATTTTGGCCAATTTACAGAAATCGGCTGAAATCCATACAGTGGGTGGTCCAGCCATCTCGATAAAATTTGATTACTCATTCTACTTTTGTTGAAGAAGCTGGTCAGAAAATTTTAGGCCCAACAGTGGCTGCAGTCACTTTTCATGTATTCCGTCAGCAGCTAACACCTACTGTTAGAATACATTAGCCGCAAGCTAAACGTAAAAAAAACTATTAGTATATGGCCAGCACAAGATATAAATGGTAATGGCATTTGTTTTAAGAGTTAATTATTGCTCCACGGTATTTCTGTATCCTTGCAGAGTAATACACATGAACATACAGACAGCTTCTTGGAGACTGTATTAACTGCACCAGTACATATAATAGGTTTCACCATTCAATGTGAACATAAGAACTTTGAATTTGAAAAAAAATAATTGAGCTGAGCTCCTAATACAGATAGAAGCCTCTTTTATATAAGGAGACCAAATGTATGACAGCCTCAGACAATATCCTAGAGCCACTGATCAAATGAATGCTTTTAGATTCCTACTTTTTGCTGGGTCAGACTTGAACCCAACTTGTTTGGGGTGGGACAGTTCTTCAGTTGTGCCCATGCTTCCATGCACAAGGTTTTTAGGAAGGACTGCGGCTGGAGAGCTCTGTCAATATCTACATTAAACAAAAACAGAAGACAGTTTTTTTGTTTAGTTTTGGACAGCGTAATGGAGGATCTATAACCTAAATCAGATTTTTCTTTTTGTCGATGTCCCACTGGGCAGATTTCCATTCACTTCCTGTCCAATAGCCACAACAGGAAGTGAGAGAAAATCCTTCCAAAGAGACTGAAATCCCTGGGGGTTCACAGGGTTACCAGAACTAGTGTGCCAATTGGAAGATTTCACATCTATTCCTGTTCTGATGACAACCCAAAATTTGGGATTTGCTTTCACTGTCAGTAATGGTCATCATGATAAATAGAAAGAGTGAGTCTCCCTATCGGGGGGACACAGACAGCATTACAGACCTGGCAGATATTCTAATCCCTCTTCAATCCATCCAACATTAGAAAAAATGTTTTGGCTTTAGTTGCACTTTAACAACATCAATTGCAAGAGGGTTTAAAGTGTTTCCTCACATGTAGATTGAGTTCATGTACCTTCAGTTGTGATTTAGGGATGCACAGATATATCGGCCCCCGAAACATATCGGCTGAAAATTGCACTTTTGGCTAAATACATCGGCGCATCCCTGCTTTCTTTCCTCCCCGCTGGACGCTGCTCTGTGTCCCAGCAGGGAGGAGGTAAAGTGACAGCTGGCCGAGCGCTGCGCGAGGAGAGTGCTGTGAGGGGGCGGTGTCTTTCCTCCTACACCACTCAGCTGCCTATCACAGTCCGGCAGAGCGGTGTGTGAGCGGAGACAGCCCGGGCTGTCACAGGAGGCTTAGCTCTCCTCCCTACACCGCTCGCTCAACCTCCTGTGACAGCTGTCAGAGAGGAGAGCCAGGTACAAACACTCAGCGATCAGTGATTGCTGAGTGTTTGTACATAATTGAGGACATAGTATGGTTACCATATCCTCAATTATGAATGAATGGGAGTGATCTACATCACCTCCTGTTCATTTATAGTTGTAGTTATAGTAAACACACAATGTTCTCATGTTATGAATGAACAGGAACACTCAGTAGGATTCCTGTTCATTGATAACAGGGGATACAGAAAAGACATTGAGGACTCTGTGTTCTCAATCTCTTTTTCTATTTTAAAAGGGAAATATCAGACCCCTAATATTTCCCTGAAGCCCCTACAAGTAAAGTTAAAAAAAAATATATTTAATAGCAAATTAATTAATTTGAAAAAAATATTTAAAAAATTTGAAAAAATAAAAACATTTTCGGTTTCGGCCTGACAATTCTTTTAAATTTCGGTTTCGTTTCAGTTTTTACATTTCTATTTCGGTGCACCTCTAGTTGTGATTGTGAATAAAAGTATTCCCTGGGGTTATTATTTTCAGCATGTCTGTGTCTGGAAGGGAGGCACCCATAAACTGAGATTTAGTTCTTTATATACGGGATCTGTCACCTACATTTTCCTGTGCATTATGGGGGAAATTGCATGAATGGGTAAATATTAGTTGATGCTGATTTTTCATGTCCAGTAATGTTCTAAACAGTTAGGGTTCAGTGCCTATGTTAAGAATGTCTGTAGCTTCTTTTCACAATGTTCTTTTTGTCAGTCATCACCAAATTTGGTTGGGAAACCATTACAATCAATCAGATCTGTCTGAAATCCGCCATTATGGATTGTTACTGCCATTTTTCTAAGAACGAATGCCGACGTGTGTTAGTCTTTTTCTGTCAGACTGATTTGATGAATAAATAATATGACCCACCTGGTCAAACTGACATTAAATAGATCCAGGGGTCACCATGTTATGTACCATGCATCCTTTTATTGGTATATATAGTGAAGTAATAATAGGGCATGCCCATGTCCCCTGAGTAAATCACTAAGCAATGACATGCAGCTGGCCTGCTTGATGAAGGTGCCTGAGAGAAGAGCTGTCGGCCCTTTAACAGCCAGCCAGGTTGTTTATACAGGGTTCTTCCATTTTTTTTTCTAGTAACGTATAGTCTTCCTTAGTGTGACTTCTGGGAGGAGCATGATATTTTCTATGGTGGCCAGAGTTCGCCATTATTAGTTATTTTCAGCCTTCCTCTTTAGTGTTACTTTCTGCTCATCCTTGCCTTTAATGTTACTTCACCATACTTGATTTAGGTTCAGTATAATCAAAAAGTGTTTATGAGAGGCAGGCTTGCTATGCCACACCCCATAAGTATAGAAACCAAACGGTGAATCCTTCTAGCATCATGGCCAGAAAAGATAAAGTAAAGAAGGGATTTTAAGGCATAGAAGAAGGCAAAATATTAAGATCATACTGGTCCACATTATAGCCTCCCGGAATACCCTCCTGAAGAAGCCAGATTTTGCCTAAATGCGTAGAGGAAGTCCTAGAGTGTTAATAATAACAACATACATGAGTATTCTGTTGGACTTTTTTTCTTTTTACAAATTGTTTACCTTGTGGGTCATTTTTGGACAGGCTATGTTATCCTGATCCAATTTTATTTGATCTGTTATATTTGGTCGGTTTTATATGAATTTTACTCAATTGTAATAAAGCTTTTGACCTTAATGATATAAATGATCTTAATATATAGGCTTCTATGCCTTAAAAGCCCCTCTTTACTTTTCCTTGTCTGGCCCTGATGCTAGAAGGATTCAGTTTGGATTCTCGATTTATGTTCAGGTTTGGGTACCCTTAAACTAGATCTAAACCCGAAACTTTATTTTTTGATAGAGTTGGTAAGGGTTGAATCCGTCAGATTTTTTTTTTTTTTTTGTTCTCATTAGGGAGATTTCCTATCCAGTAGACACAATATGAAGTGAGACCCTCTCTAAAGCGAGGTAAATCCACTAATTGTAACTGGAAGAAATGTCCTCATTGTAAAATCCCCCCTCAATTTCTATAATGATGACCACTATTTTCCATCACTTTCAGTCCCGGTGACCATGGTCACCAAGACAAATCATGAGGCTGAATGTCTACAGGGGGGACAGCTGTAAAAAAAACCTGACGGGTTTTAAGCCCTCACCCATTTTTGGGCTTTAAAAAACTTTAACATGGAAACTGTTTTTCAAAAGTAATATGATCTTGTGGAAATGGTAGTTTAAAAAACTGGCAGTAAAATCCTACACCTAAAACTCTACTTGCTCTTTCACCGAGGGATAGAGAAATGTGTGTAGTTCTACAAAAAGAATGGTGGAAAAAGAAGCTGCATGTTTCTAAAGTTCTCATGAAATGACTTCAATGTGTTTATTTCTTCTTATAATCAAGAGTGAAGTGGATGGAAATTGTTCAGCAAGCTCATTTTATTTCATAATGTCACTCAGACGACATTAAATCTCTGTAAGACATGCATTTGTTTGAAAGCCGCCGGCTGAGCTCCAGTAGTTTGTAGTCACGAGATCCCATTAAATAGCTTGCATGTAGGTGTGATTTGCCAGTCATTAGATACAATTAGTCTATGTGCTGAGCTGATCATTCTGTCAGCAACATATCACTTATGATGGGCCAACATGCTTTAAGTATTACAAATCAAGTGATTTGTCAATGGCTCCAGTGCATGAAGCAATACAAATATTTGTTTTATAAGTGAGGTGATATAGTGCACAGGTCTGTTGATATAAGAAGATATAGCTGGTATGGAGTGTGGTGTATCAAAGGTATTTTACATATGTCTTCTCTGGCATTTGCAAATCACACCTATACATGAGGTCCACCTCATGATACTAATTGGATTTTCGAGTTGGTACCTGTACATAAGGTTTTGTGTCTGGATTGTGACGGAATATAATAAAGGACTAATTTATTCCTAACTGGCGTACCAAGGCTTTTCTCCTCTGTCTCAATCTGTTCATTCTCATGCTTTATTGCTTGTTGATTTATTCCGCAACATAAACACTGGTCATAAATTTTACTAATGGAGTCTCTGTTTCCGCTGAGCCTTGTTTGCATGGGTTTGCCCCATAATTGGTTTTGAGTTTTATTTTAATTAATTCTATTTCCCTCCTTCTTTTCTTATCTCATTCTGTTCTTCTTCTTTTTTTTTTTTTTTTTTCCACTCCTTCACTCCTCTTTTTCTCTCCTCCATAGACCACATAGCACACATCATTGAGCTTCTAGGCAATATCCCAAGACACTTTGCTCTGTCTGGAAAATATTCTCGGGAATTCTTCAATCGCAGAGGTAGTACCTCTTCCTTACGGAAGGCATTGTGATGTAGACAGAATGAATCTTCCCACTGCTTTTTTTTTTTTCTCCAGACACCTACAAATATTTTATTGGTCGTTGAACAAATTTCCATAGCTCTGTGGAAATGCAAATCTCACAGCGCTGTTGCAGCACATTGTTTCAGCCTGTTTAATCTACTCTGCTAAAAATTTCATCAACAGATGTTATTGGGTTGGCTCATGTGTTGCTGTAGCAGCACCACCGCCAATTCATGGCGAAGCCTAAAGATGTGTTGAAGATGGTTCTGTCTGCGCCATGCCCTCTTTCTAAATGTATAAAATGTACTGATTGAGTTGTATGTTTCTGTTTTGCTGGCAATGTTCTTCAAACACAGATCACATAGCATTGATCTCTGAACTGCTGGGAAAAATCCCTCGAAAATGTGCTATGTTGGGAAAATATTCCAAGGATTTTTTCACCAAACAAGGTAACCGTGTTTCTGCACCACAAAATGTGTTTTTTTTTTTCCATGTAGGGAGGGTGAATAGTAACATTTAAGATGTTTACTTTTGTTTAGTTTTCCTTAAACCAGTTTGAAGGGCTATCCTTAAAAATGGATTCAGCTGACCCCCATTATTTGTATCCCAGGCAAATTGCCTCTTCATTAGGGACACTTGCACATTACACTACGCAGCCAGATGTTCATTTAAAAGGAAATACACGGTACTAACAGAATGCCATTATTTCTTAATGGATGAAACACCTGCAGGTAAAATCTGGAGACTGCATTTCTTATTCAATAAAAGCCAAGGGCCTTCTTCTTTAACCAGGCTCCTAAAAAATTGCCCACTGTATTGTTTCATTACTTGTGATGTACTACGTATAGTAAATTAAACTTGGTTTACTAAGGTACAACATACTAAACAAACCTTATGTGTTGTTAGTAGGCACCATATGGTCTTTGTAGGCCATGTTGTTTAACTTGAGTGTGTCTCCCCAGGAGCCCCAAGAAGTCCTATGCAAATGTCAGCTTTTCAGAGTGAACGTAGAAGCGGCCTGTTCATCTCACAGTGCAATATGGCACCTTTTAGTTGGTTGTATTGTGGGACATGGTTTCTACTAAAATCTGAAATCTGCTTTTAAAGGAAACGTACTCTGCAAATATTTAGATTGCCATTATGGGATGCTGATTTTGAAAGGCTAGTTATTTGATGTTTGGCTACTATAGGTTATGTCACTGATCTGTAACTATGCAGATTAGAAGTCCTGACTTTCCTCTGATGTCAGGAGCTCCATGTTTTTGTCTACTATGAGGATAGTTTTAGTGTGATGTGAAAGTGTCTGGGTTTGCTTAGTGTCATTCAGACTTTACAGTGACAAACTTCTGAATGTTTACCAAGGAGGAAGTTCACAATCTAGATTTAAAGCATTTATTATGAAGTCAGATCATCTTATATATAAAAGAAGAAGGGTTTGTGCAAAGTATCTGTTCACTCATTAGCTTAAATTCCCAGAGCCACACCCAAAGAACAACTCAATTTTACTGGTTGGTATTCATCCTTGAGGTCTAGTAAGAAAATGTTTATGCTACATTGTGCCGTTGTTTGTCTGCCTGTTCCCCACAACACTTTATGCTATCCTTTGAATGATTGCAGGCTGCGTTTGGGGGACACCTTCCAACTACAGAGAGGCTAGATATGGTGTAGACCTACTAGTCTATTTTCATTGTCCTTTGTCCTGTTGTTTAGGAAAAGTGGCAGTATGCTGTAATCTTTGCTTGTCTCTTGAGAATGTTCTACATCTAGTGGTCAGTGAACTATAGTGCCAAAAGAAATGTCTACTATTCAGGCATTTGCATGTAGAAAGTGAAAGTTTACACAGTGTGATGAAATCCTCTATAGACGTCCAGGCCATTAAAAATGAGCTACGTCTTCAGGGGATGACTGCCACAGGGCATGTTCACACCATTTTCCGGTCCAGATCTGTGAACCTGCCCCCAGTTCCAGTGCATTCCAGACAAGGCAAAATGAGACATGCAGTATTTTTCTGGTCTGGTCTGTACCTGACTGAGCTGGTGTGAACAGAGGGCAGAAAAAGCATAGGGATACATTAGAATGCATTTTGGGTCCGGAAACAATCTGGTTATGGTGTGAATGGGCCCAAGACAAGACAGTCAGTTTTTGTAGCATTTAATTGATAATAGAGTGACACCTCTCGGCTTCTATTGTTTAGTCATTGATGTTATGTTCATTATCTAGATGAGGACTGCACTAGGACACTGTACAGGGGGCAGTATATTTAAGAATAGAGGATCTGGAGGATTTGCATGGAATGGGAGGCAGCAAAGGATAGCTTAGAATTCCAAGCCATGAACTCCAGTTCTCTGTATAGATCTTATGGAATTGCACATTGTTTGACACCATTTCTTATAACTCATTGAAACTGCAGTGTACATCACCCAGCACCCGAATCTACATTACAGGTATCCCCTAGATCAGGAGTAGGCAAACGCCAGTCATCCTACTGCTGTGGAACTGCAAATCCTATTAGGCACTGCAAGACTCTGACAGCCACAGTCAAAACTCTGAGGCAGATGCATGATTGGATTTGTAGTTTCGACACAACTGGAGGGCTGGAGTTTGCCTATATCTACCCTAGATAATCATCTGTTTATTGTATTTATCTTGAATCCAGTACTTCTGTTCATGTTGTGGGGGATTTATTATCTGTATCACCATGGTGACCTGCTAGTAAGCAGAAAGCCACCACAAGTTTCTTCATCCTAGATTCTGATGCGTACAGCATTTCCCAAACTAATTCTGAGCCCTTTGCTTTGTTAGTCTTATACATTTTATCACTGACATAATATGAAAGGACATTCCATTATGGTAAAGCTTCTTGTTTTCCTGATTTCCTAACACTTTGCTTTCTTAACATAGGGGAGCTTCGACACATCACTAAACTAAAACCTTGGAGCCTGTTTGATGTTCTGGTGGAGAAGTATGGCTGGCCACATGAAGATGCTGCTCAGTTTACAGATTTTCTCACTCCCATGTTAGAAATGGTTCCTGAGAAACGTGCATCTGCTAGCGAGTGCCTGCGACATCCCTGGTTAAGTTCGTAGGAAATGTCCCTCTGTTACTTTGGACTGTCACAATATCTGTAACCGGATTCTGAGTGATTTGGCTTTAGCTTTACAACTTTTCTTTTAGTACCCTGTTTTGTTTTCCTTTGCTTGGTGTGCACTGTGGTCAATGGAAAGGTTAGCCTCTGTGTCTTCAGCTCTAAGCTTTACCAACCCACTTTTTTCTGGGGACTGGGACGTGGGAGAAAAATGAGAAAAAAAAAAAAAAGCCTAATCTGGTCTTGTTTTTCATGTTACGTGGCATTCAGATGTCCAATTTTTGAACAAGAAGTACATTTTTTCCATGTGTCTGCCAGATTTTGTAACTATTTATGATAAGTTTTAGCAGATGTTGGGTAAATTCAAGCTTTTGAAATGACTAACAGGCCTAATGCATGGGTACTGTAACATTTTTACCTTAACCCGAGGGATTACCATTCTTGTACTATAGTGTATGTACATTCACTTTGTAAATGTTTGTTTTCATTGACAACCTTGCAGTGCTGGACTAGGCCGCAGTATGTCTTTTGCCCAGCTAGCACTGAAAAGGTTACTTAACAGGAAAGGGGATTGGAAGTCCAGAGCAGATTGATCTCCTCAACTTTCCGCATTTAGTGAATTACAGCTGGGTTTTCCGAAGACGCGGGATCATTTTCTTCGGTTCGGTAACTAAAGCTGCTCTCGTTTTTTTTTTTTTTTATTTGTAAGCAATTGCCCCATTATGGCACTTTAGGGGAAGATGAATTCTTTGTAGTCTAAACTGATGTATGCACATGACAACATTCATAGTGTAGGTTTTCAAATTGCTGCAGCAACATTTCATGTGTTCAGGTGAGGCCAAGCCCATCTCCGCATACTTTCCGCTACCTCCTCTTTGCAGACTACATTAAAGTCTGCACACTCACAAGAGACCAGTCGCATTGTATGCTGAATGAACTTGCCCCATCTGTTTCTGGGATAAAGCACAGGAGTTAGTGAAAAGAAAGGAGACCCCTCACATTGGAGCGTCACTTCAATACAATACGTTTCCATCATTAAACAAATATGAAGTGTTTGAACCTTCTTCGTATATATATTACACCTGATCCTTGGTAGGTTTGTCCAATCAATAATCTAGCGGTCTGCCAATAGAAGTGGTTTCCACACTGGAACGAGATCAAGCACTCAGTTGACATCGGCTGAGTAGGACAGACTATTTTATTTGGGGGTTATTATTCCGGAAAGCAAATATTTATAGAATAACAGAAACTTTTACCTTTTATTGGGCCAACTTCTTACAATAGGTAGTATTCTCCTAAGGGTCTGTTAATGTTGTATGTTGCATTCGTTATGGAAATTGCCACTGGGGATATATTATGTGTAATGTCCAAGGCAACATTTTATTATATTTTTGCACATATGCAAAATAACTTAATAAAGATTTTAAAACCAACAATATGCTTCGATCTGTAGTGCAGTGGGCATAGTAGCTCTCTACTCGTAATATCCTGACCGTTAAATAGCCCATTTCACAACTGCTTAGGTGTACATATAATTCAGCATTATTTTTTTAAAAGAAATGCACTGGTTACATGTATTTTCGATAAACTAACTACTTAGTCATTTGTTTTCCCTTTTAAACATTTGGTTTGTTTTGCTCCCTTTACCGTGGCGAATAAAATGATAAAATTACATGGTTAGAGGTGATGCAGATTTTAGAATGTAAACAGAGATCTATTTAACTTTTTTTTTAAAGTCTGTGGATTGAATGTAAATTCATTTCTGGTTTTACAAATACGGTGCCACTTTGTTTCTTGATTTATCCATTGCGGTTTAATCACAAGCCTTTGCAATAATTAGATGTGAAAATACCCAGTGTTGTAACAGTAACCAATTGTGGTTTAAGGTGCTTGCAGTTGTCCAATAAAATGTATGTTTTTTTTTTCCTATAATGTGATTGGAATTCTTTTTTCTAATCGAATCCTCTAAAGATGGGTCTCCCCTTCAGCAAACAGGCATTAAACTGCAAGGCCATCTTATTATCTCCAGGCCCACCAATGTAAAATGCAGGTGTGCAGGAAAGGTAGAAAATATACTTACCTTTCACCAAGCTTCTGTCCGCATCACCGAGGTGACAGCAATATCACGTTTTTTTTTAGAAGGATTCTGGGAAATTCTTTGCAAAAGAATGCTCCTATACCTACTGCCCTCCTACTGGAATACACTGGGAGGAAATTATCATAGCAATTGAGAGTGTTTGAAGTTGCACAGACTATATTTGATGCACTTTGCACCAGAGTTATGGTGCTATTGTTAATGTTGATAAATGAGGTTTAATAGACTCCAGGAAAGAAGACTCGTAACTCCAGGCAAAATGCTTAACTGTCGCGTCTTAAAGAAGTGGTCATGGGGACTTCTTAATTTGCGATTCTTTTGCTAGGTGATGCTGCCGTTTCAGACAGCCGCAGGACAAGTGCAGATGAAAACAGGCGCACAACACGTGCATTTGGAAAAGTAGTGCAAGCTCAGGTCAAAACAGATGCAAAACACGTGCAGTTGGAAAAGTAGTGCAAGTTCAGGTCAAAACAGTGTAAAACACGTGCAGTTGGAAAAGTAGTGCAAGCTCAGGTCAAAACAGGGGCACATGTTAAAAGACAGAATTGCACATATAGAAAAGACCTATGAGGCTAAAACTGTCACAATTGCTTTGATAACTTCCCCCCACTGTGTTCCCAGGATCTCACCCAAAAGAATCATGACGTCACCTTCTCCAGTGTGGCAGCCATGTAAAAGGTAAGTATATTTCTTCCAGGTGCCTTTTTACATGCTGTGTGTTTATATAGGGGTGAGTATTTTACTACAGGGTCTGCTTTCATGTGGCAGTTTGCAGAAATCAGCCTCAGAAATGTTAGTTTTACTTTGCTGTACTTTTTATTGAGCCCCCCCCTGTGAATGTTTATTATGTATGTGCCAATTTTGCCAGATTCTTATTGATTGCTGTCTAGCACAAGCTACTCAATATTCTACTTTCTAAAATTGGAAGGCATTTTGCATTTATACATAAGTTTCAGACTAGGGATGTTCAGATACCAAGTACTGTACTCAGTACAAGTAAAGATACTTTTCCAGCTGCAGGACAAGGCTAGAGAAAAATGTAAACGTTAGGAGGTAGCTGTCATTTGTAAGGAGCACACGGAGCTCCTGGGATTTGTACCTCCTGTTTTAATGTATGATGGTTTTTTTTTTTATAAACACATATAAAGGGATGCACAGATACCATTTTTTCAAGTCCGGAAACTTGTCCAAGTACTCACAGATACAAGTACTGATACATTTTTGTTTATTGTCATGTGACAGTTTTTCTAAAACAATACAGACTAATGATTTCAGGACAGTGGTGAAGTGCCATAGCCAGGTCCGAGCTGCAACCGCTGCAACCCTGGGAGTTCTCATGAAAATGCCAAGTATCTGAACATCCCTAGTTCAGACATGTTATAGAAAACATTTTTGACATGACAGAAAAATTAAAATCTCCACGTGGGAAGCACATACTAGTGTCAGAAATGCTGATTATAATTTTCATATAAAAGGGAACAATTTGTTTGCCACACATGTACTTTAGTCAAATGTTGCCGCATCTGCATAGAAAAGGTATGTTTGCTTTGTGTGGGTTTCTGGCTGCTTTGCACATAACATACTGGTAAGTTCACTGCCTTCTGCTCCAATTAGATCCTGTGTTATAGACATTCGATTGTGAGCTTCTGGTGTGGAGAGTGATGTAACTGGTTCTGTGTTCCATGGAAAACACTGTGGTAAGTGTCAGTGCTGCATAAAACCTCATAAAAGACATGTGGTGGAAGTAGAAATTTCCCAACCTACACAGCATTCTTCCTGTCGGCTAAGGCCACTATGGATTCAAGGCACACTTCAGTAGAATTACAACTGTAAAGTATCAGTCTATCAAAAGCTGAAGAGTGCACAAGTCGTCTGAGGTAAAAATAAGACGCAGGTTCTATTCAGGTAGTGACTCCCAAAAAAATAACATTTCTTTATCATCCGTTGAGGGAAGATCATATTCATGCCGCCTAAATGAGATCTGACATTGATGGTCAGCTTTACTTAGCGTCCTTAGGGAGGTTGGACTTCTTTACCTTCGCTACAAAGCACAGGTTTTCCCAGTTCCTATAATTTTATAGATCTCTCCGCAACAGCACTGCAGCACATAGACTGTGGTGCTATTGGGACTGGTATCAAAAGGCAGTGAACTGGTCACCATGCCATTCTGGCTGGGTTCCCATTGCAGAACTTTTAGTTGGTTGCTCCTGCAGCACGTTCCACACGTGTTCCCCACTCTTTCATTTTTGTGGAAACTCCGAGCAGCACCTCATTACAGGTTCTATGTCCCGGAAACATTGCACTTCCCCTCTCGGTCACAAATGCTGCTTGCAGTAAGGATTGTTTGTGGCCTAACCCTGGCATCCTTTCAGGCTGTGGGTCTGGTTTTACACTCTGGTTACACAAGTACCCGATAGGGGTCGCAATGTCTGGCACAAAACAGAAGGCTGGTGATCCAGTGAAGACAGGCAAACCTATAGTTCACTCCTCTTATATTGTATGCTCTATCTGCAGTTTTAAAGCCCATCCATGGACTGACCACCTCAGCATCTATTTTAGAGACCTCTTTTAAACCTTCAGCCAGAGCTTAAGTATCTTACTGCAGTTGTTTTTTACTCTACTTGTCGCAACTTATGTTTCAACCTGACTGCAGGGGCAGCAAAAGCCCCTTTTACCCTTCCTTGGTCATTTCACATGTCCCTTTGGAATTGGATGTTGGACTATCCTCAGAACAAGCTTCTGGGGCTGAATCCCTTCCCTCACTCAGGGAAGAGCAGATCCAAGCTCTCACACGTCATTCTGTTTAAGCACAAGCAAACGTCAACAATAACTGAAACAGTCATGAGCAAGAAGTAGGATTTACCTGCTCCCTCTTTGAGCAAGGTGGAAGGCCTGGGCTGTTTCAGGACTAAAATGGCAGCAAAAAAATGTTCACACTACCTTTTGGATACCTGGATAGACCGTTCTTCTGTTTTATGCATTTTTTTTTTTTTTGGTCCTATTTCCTCTGGCAGAGGCCTTTGTGAAAAAGCGGGCTTCACTGGATCCACCTACATAAGGCTACCTCTATTCCAATAGAGGATGTCCCCTCCTTTAACCCTTTTGCTGCCAGGACCATTTTTTTTAAACATTTTATGCACACATCTAAGGCCCCATTCACACCTAGGCGTATTGTAATATGCGCGTCTGTCGCACGTTTTTTTACCGCGATTCGCTGTAAAAAAGTCTCGCGACCCCAAAGGCTACTTGGCAGTATCCAAAT